CAAACAGAAACAACTGAGGAAAAAATGATGACAAAGTTTCTTTTTTTCTTTTTTTTTTTCTATTTGAATAACATTTTATTTCGTAAAGCATCAATGAAAATAGCAAAGATATAGACCAACTTTGACAGCATCTTTTATCGTTTTATCCCATTTACAGTGCCTTTATGTTATTCCAAGCTTAAAAAAAGCTGACAAACTTTGTTGCCGTTGATATGGATATCTCTGAACAATATTTATGCTACACAACCGTCGCTTAGACAGATCACAATGCTGTCATTGTTGTTGCCATCGTTCACAGATATGGCAAATTACAGATGTTGGGAAGGTTTTCCAAATGCTTCCTAGTGCCCCCCAGTCTCCTTTTCTTCGCTACGTCATTGTTTCCACACTGCGAATAAAAGGCATTAATGTTATCATCAGCAATAAATGTGGGCTATGTTCAGCAATTTTTCCAAGTTTTTGAGTCAGAGGTATCACCAGTTATGTTTAAAATTTTAAGCGGTAAACTGATAAATTAAACTGTAAATGAAAATGCTTGTGCTTGTTATCAGGGGAAACAGAACCTCTAATAAGAAATCAGATAGTACAGGAAGCCGAAGAAGCAGTACTCCGTGGTTACAATAAAGTTGTATGTATCCATGCAAACCAAGTGTAGTCACGGATGACAAAAATAACATTAATACAAGTTAAGTATAAAGCAAAGAAAATATATTTCTACACTCTTTTTTTAAAAAGATTTTTACAAAACTTTAAGATGTTATAATTTAAACTTTTGAAGATCGTAAAATATTCTAGCGTGTATGTGTCTAGTTCTGAATATAAAATAGTTACAGCAACCAAGTGGCGCCTGAAAAAAAAAGTCTTATTTGCTAAAAAATTTAGATGGTTTATTTATTTACACATTTATTATTCTGTCTTTCTTCTTAAGAAATTTTTAAACAGCTAATTTCCTTAGTACTCAAAATGAATACCTAAAACGCTGTAAAAATGCTAAGACTTTCCGGTGTCCTCTTTTTTTTTTTTCGATTTTATCAAAACTAAATGCCATCAGATGAGCTGAAATGTCGTTCTTAGAAACATCAATTGTAAATTTGTTAGTTCTCTTTCTCTTTCGCTTGTTCTGCCTTTTTTTTTTTATTTTTTCCTGAGTTAGTTCTGAAAACAAAATTTGACAGTCGTTAAGGAGGAAAGTGCGTCAAAATGCCATTTGTAGTGATCTGAAAAAAAAGATTTGCAAAAACAAAAAAACTGCATATTGGAATGTAAGAGAACAAAATTCATAAGGAGTCCCAAACTGCAACATTGATAGATCAAAGACCGTTAGAATCAAGCAGATTTTGGCAGCTGGCATTTGCCATCTGTGATTACAGTTTCTGACTTTATACTTGGTCTTCTAAAAATTGTAGTTTAGCAGATTACTGAGATGTGATTGTATCTGTTACATCATTTTTTGTTTTTGTAAATATGGGCTTTACTTACTGGAAAAAAAACTTATTACCGAAATAATACGTTTTAATTACAGTATGATGTTTTTTAAAGGTTATCATGAAAAAATGAATAATCAGAAAAAGAAAAGGTTATCTGTAAATTCTACCGGTCATTTTTTTAATTACAACGAAGCATACTAACAACCATAATGACGTATAACAACAAATATATGAGACCTATGAGATAAAGAAATAATAAGAGATAAGCAGAAGTTACTTGGGAAGTTTCTGTAAGCAATTTATCATCCTCTCGTCATCGTCGCCATCTTTTCAGTCGTCATCAGACAGCAAAAGCAACGATACGACAGCAGCAACGGTGACAACAGTTTTTTTGAATAATATTTTATACTAAAATACACGGTAAAAACATTAATAATATGAGAACTAGTTGTAATAATAATAATATAATAATAATACTAATAACCAACCCAAGCAGATTTATCGTATCATGAAATACTCAAGCAATATGCACAAATAATAAAGTAATACAAAAAAATAGAACAAAAAACCAGAAGGAATTAGAAAGCTAAATTTGCTCAGGCAGTAAAGTGTGTTTAAACCAAAAATATTTTGGGCTTATAATTGATATTTATTCTTCCGTTTTTCGCCCCCTCCATCTACCGACTCTGATAAACAATTTCAAAAATAGTCTTTATTTTCAAAAAAAAATCTTGTCTTGTTCTCAATTTTCTCTTACTTTTCTTAACTTTCCGGTGCTGTTGATTATTATCACAATTATTACTTTTTAAGTTTCGTAAAAAAACGGCAAAAAATTTCGCAACATAAAATAAGACCGGGGTCTTTTTTCCCCCCCCCCCCCCCCCCCCCCCCC